CAGAGGTGCAGGTTGTAATGGCTCCATCTTCAAAAGAGCCTAAATGCCCACCCACTGATGAACGGATAAAGAAGATGTGGTGGTTTTTTTTTTTTTTATGTAGTGGAGTACTACTCTGCCATAAAAAAGATTAGCTTGAGACATTTCTAGCTAAATGGATGCATCTTGAGACCATCCTCTTAAGTGAAATAAATTAGACACACAAGTTTAAATACTGCATGATTTCTCTGGTGTGGGAAATTGAAAGTATAAATAAGAACCATAACATATAATAGATATTGTGAAATAGGAAGAATATATTCAAACGAGAAGCGGGGAAAGGCGGGGAAGGGGAAAGGAAAAAAGGGATAAGAAAAAAAGAGACTAGAAAGAAAAAAAAATGGAAAGGATGCTTTTGTAAATAAGGAGGGAAGAAGGGGTGTGGGAGGGGAGGGGGATGGGAAAAAGAAAAAGCAAGATTATCATCTACGGTACAAACTGCCTAAGATGAAGGCGATCATTATGCATATCTAAAATGAACCGGTAAGATAAAAAGAAGTTTGCCGTGGATTTGCGTCACACCGCGAACCGCAGCACCTTCTGCGGCTCACCCTCTGTGGACTCGCTTGAGCCCCACCACACCCGGCTCCTGACTCCCGCTGCCCCCTCCCCCCCGACGCCCCCTCCGGGGCTGCTTCCCGCCGCCTCCTTCAGGGTCTGGCTCAGTCTTCACCCGCAGTCTTGGCTGATCTAGCCCCTTCCCTTGCCTCCTCCTCTGCCCACTGCGGCTCTTAATCCACCTGTTCCTACACGGCTCCGACCATGCGGAATCGGGATTTATTACTTTGCTCTTTCCTCTAAATCCCACCACGTCTTTGAAGGGGAAGAACGGCTCCTCCGTCATCTCAGCGTGCTGGAGCCTGCCACACGGTAGGCACCGAGGGGTAATCTGACGGACTTGGTCATTACCAGTAAATCAATGAACTCGCCGGGTAAACAGTTGATTTTTAATACCATTAATGGGCTTGGAGCTTATTTCATTCAGTTTCCCAGAGCATCCCTTGCACCCCTTTCTTGTTTAGAAATGGTTACAGCCACTTTCCTGTGAGTGTTGGGATGGACGCTTTGTCTTGAGAAACAGGGAGGGCAAACATTTGCCTTGAGTGGATGCTGCCGAGGCCGAGGGGGTGATGGCAGCCCTTCTGGTCCTGGTGGCTGCTGGCTGAAGCTTTGCTACCTCTTGCCACCACCGTACAATTTAGCTTCTGTTAAGTGAAAATAATTGGCTTTTAAAAGTGGTGTTGAAATTTGATAAGAATTCTAGCACTCAGGAGGCTGAGGCAGGAGGATTGTTGCGAGTTCAAGACCAACCTGGGCTGCAAAGTGAGCTCAAGGTCAGCCTGAACTGCATAGCCAGACCCTGTCTCAAAAAGACAAAGAAAAAAAAAGAAAGAAAGAAATTTGATAAGAAAAAAACAAACAAAAACAACCACACCAAACCTAAACTCCCCAACACACTGATTGATTTTCAATTACTATAGTTGGGGAAAAGGTTTCATTTCTTTTAGTACTTTCCCAAATAACAATGTCAGCTGCATAAAATCAAGTCAGGTCCTCCCTAAATTTATTTATAGCTACCTTCAAAGAGCATTTATTTTGCTGTCTTTTCAGAGAGAGAGAGTAGCAACCATTTTCCACAGTTCAAGTCACCTGAAAACCTGTTCTAAGGACAAGTTATAAATAAGGGCTGAAGGAGGCTAATCATTAAACTAAAAAGTTCTTTTTGTCTGGATTTTCTATGTTGAATTATCTTCTAAAATCCGAAAAAGGGCTGGGTGTGGTGGCGCACACCTGTAATCCCAGCACTCGGGAGGCTGAGGCAGGAGGATCATCGCGAGTTTGAGACCAGCCTGGGCTACAAAGTGAGTTCAAGTCCGGCCTGAACTGCATACTGAGACCCCGTAAAAAAAAAAAAAAGAAAGAAAAAAAAATCCGAAAAAGGTAGACACTGTTAGGATTTTGAAGAGAAGACGTTCACTCAATCAAACACGTATTTAATAGCTGCTCTGTGCCAGGAACCATGGTAGCTGGTTTACCAAAGCATCTGTTGGGTCAACATGCGCTGGCATGATGCGCTGGCGCCAAGCAGGCATCCTACGCCCACGCAGGATCCACAAGATTAGCCCGTGATCCTCCAAGCCCTGGTTCCCAGAGACTCATCAGTCAGATTCTGAAATGTCTATGTCCCCTGTCTCTCACAAGCAAATCCAAATTTGCTTTTGTGTTTTGATAATTAAAGCATTTTGCTATTTAATAGCATTGCGTTTAGCATGACTTCCTGGGAGCGAAAAACTTGCAGCCTACTCAGCTGGTCACTCAGCATTGTGCCTTAACGCTGAGCAAACGAAGATCCCGGAAGCGCTCAAGTTCCACTAACCTTTCCGACTCTTAGTGAGCCAGAGTCCTTACTTTGAGAAGAGTTGTACTTGTGCTGCAGAGCAGTGCACAGGTTAATGTAACGTCACAAGAACCACTCTCTCACTGGGCTCTACTCTCCACCCACCACCAGCCTGCTCTGTAGCCCTGCCCAGAACGGTTAGTATAGTTCTGCAGCCCTTGCTGTTCCCTTCATTTGCAGGAGCGGTGGTCATAAATTGGTGAATAGCTCACAAGCATGTTCGAGGCAGAACACTTCAACGTTTGTTCTGCGCCCCACCTTCAATGAATACAAAGAAGCACATGATCTAGGCTGAAGGACGAGACTGGCTCATGCCTCTGTGGCTTCCTCCACACTCTGGAAATGTCTGTGATCTTAATTTCCATCTGCCCGGTGACGCAGCTCTCTAGAGTGGCTTAGGTGAATTTGGGACACAGTGCCAAAGGCATAGAAGCCCGATCTGCACCACTCAAAATGGGCACTTTAGCCAGGTGTGGTGGCCATGCCTGTAATCCCAGAACTCAGGAGGCTGAGGCAGGAGGATCACCTCAAGTTTGAGGCCAGTTTGGGCTACACAGTGAGTTCAGAAGACCCTGTCTCAAAAACAAAACCAAAACCAAACCAAAAAAGGACATCTTATAAGGATGCGGTTTAGTGTTTCTTTCTCTTGTAAAGTTTATCTATAACAAATTGTATTCATTTCAAGGCTATGTAAACATGACATCATCACCACCAAAATCAAGACATAGTGTTCTAAGCGCCCAAAGTATACCCATGTCCCCTCTGTTTCATGCTTTCTTGTTTTTTCTTTTTCTTTCTTTTTTTTTTTTTTTTTTTGAGACACGGTCCCGCTATGCAGTTCAAACTGGCCTTGAGCTCACTTTGTAGCCCAGGCTGATCTCGAACTCGCAACGATCCTCCTGCCTCAGCCTCAGAAGTGCTGGGATTACAGGCGTGAGCCACTGCGTCCCGCTACTCGTGCTTTCTTTTACCCCAGGTTCCAGGAAATCACCGGCCTACTTTTGTTCAATATGTCATTATGAATACTTTCTAGAATTTCATGTACCTATAATCACACAGCATGTAAAGCTGTTGCACCTGGACTATTTCACGCAGGAAAGTGATCTGGAGCTTCACCCGTCCCATGAATACATGGGCGATCTGCTCACTTTCATTGCGAAGCAGCAGTCTACTCTCTGGGCATGCGCATCTTCTCCATCCAATCACCTGCCGGCACATGTCGGCAGCGGGTGCAGGTTTTAACTGCTGTGGATAAAGCTGGGAGCCATGAAGGCAGGTCTCTCGACAGACGCACTGTGACTTCTCCTGGGTAAATCAGGAGCAGAATGTCTGGGTCATTTGGTGGGTGTGTACTTGACCCAAGAAATAGCCGCTTTTGGAGACTGGCCGCACCATGTGCTTTTCCACCAAAAACACACGTGCTGCAATCCTATAGCTCCTTGTCAACTCTTGGTATGGGCTTTTAAAAGTTTTTTGTCATTTTAGTTGTTCTAGTGAATGCACAGTAGTTTCTCATTGTAGTTTTAATTTACAGCTCCTTAAATACTGGTGACATATACCTATCTAATATTATTTTAATTGTACAAATATATGGGGTACAAATGTTTTTTTGTTTTTTTTTTTTGTTTTTTTTTATTTTTATTTTTATGTTTGGTACTACTGGGAATCAAACTCACGACCTCGCGTACAAATGTATATATATCAAATGATGATCCAATCAGGGTTGTTAACATTTCCATGTCTTTAAACATTTAAAGATACCTTTGATTCACATATAGTAAGTGTACATATTTGGGAGAATGAATGAATAAGAAATGTGGTACACACACACACAACAGAATCATATGTAGCTATAAAAAAGAAAGCTATCCTGTCATTTGGGCCGAAATGGATGGAACTTGAGGACATGACATTAGTGAAGTCAGACTCAGAAGGACGAAAGCCATCTGTTCTCTCTCATATGTATTTGTTTGTGTTTTGGGAGGCAGGGTCTTTCTCTGTAGTTCAGGCTGGCTTTGAACTCACTATGTAGCCAAGGCTAGCCTTGAACTCACGGCAGTCCTCCTGTTTTAGCCTCCTGAGTGCTGGCATTACAGGCCTGTGCCACCACGCCCGGCCGGTATCATGTTAAAAACAGGTCTATTGGGATGCATAAGAGTGATTTCCAGAGGCTGGATATCAGGTAGCAAAGTATAGCTACAGAGAAGCAATGAGTTCTGCTGTGTCCTACAGCGCAGAGGGTGGCTATATTCACGAGAGTTTGTTACCTACTTCATGAATAGAGTGGAAGAGATGAGCTCACAAGCTCCAAATACAAAGTAACGATGGGAGATGGAAACGGTAACGGCCCTGGGAGGTGCAGGACATATATTTGTGAATTAAAATATTACACTACACCCCAGTGATATCTTCTTGTGGGTTTTCTGTCCATTCATCTCTTCTTTTATGAAGTGCGGGGCAAATCTGTTGCCCATTTTTGATTGGAGTTTTCTGTTTTAAAAAAACTTTTTTGTTTTGTTTTGTTTTTTGAGACAGGGATATAGTCTCACTACATAGTTCAGGCTGCCCTTGAAGTGGAAGGGATCCTCCTGCCTCAGGCTCCCAAGTGCTGGGATTACCAGGCCTGGTGGAGTTTTCTTACCGAGGTGCCGAGTGTGGCTGGTGGCTAAGATGCCCCCAGGTGCCCCACCTCCTGGTGTGACTCCCTCCCCTGTGCAGGAGTGGGACCCAGAAACTCGCCTCCCAGGCAGACAGTACTGCAGGGGCAGAGAGGGACACCCTCTTCGGGCCCAGGGTGGTGGCATCGCTGTCCTGAGCTGGTGGTCCTGAGTTCTGCCACCAACCACAGGAGTTTGAGGACAGATCAGATGAGACACCCTGTGCCTTGCTGAGGTTTGTGGGTGCCAGCTGGCCAAGGGACCCTAAGGCAGAGGACTCAGCTGAGCTGTACCTGGAATGTGGCCCACAGAAATGGCGGGGGCGGGGGAATAAATACATGACTGAGGCCACTAAGTTTGAGTTGTAGAAAATATACTTAGAGCTGGTACCAATTCGTGGGCTTATGTTTGAATAGCCACCCCTGCCCCTTTTGGAGAGGGTGTTTCCCTATATGCTGAGGCTGGCCTTGAAGTTGAGATCCTCCTGCCTCAGCCTCCTGAGTAGCTGCGATTGTAGGTATATGCAAAGAGGCCCAGCTTAAATGGTTTATTTTAAAAGGCAATTCATTTTAGGCAAAAATTCTATGAAATCAGATTTCGATGTTCTAGATTTTTTTTTTTTCCCTGAAACACAAAAATGTAGCCATAGCAATGTTCATGCTGAAGCAGGAAGACAAAGGAAAAAGATACAGGAGGACACCTTGCCCTGGCAAGAAGCAGCTGCTGACATCACAACACAGGCCCGCTTACTGCTTCAGCTGCTGGGCTGTGAGAAACGGAAGAGGCAACCTTGGCGTTAGGCTGTGACTCACTCATGGACCACGGAAACCATGTATTGGGCCAACTCCTACGAATCAGCCACTTATTTCCTTTAAAACAAAATAGGGTAGAAATAGCAACTTGAACTGCAGGTGGCTGAGAGCGAAGATTGCTTCAGGAAAATTCTCTCAGTCGGGCGTGGGGGCGCACGCCTGTAATCCTAGACCTTGGGAGATGGTGGCAGGAGCACGGCCGCTAGTTGGAGGCCAGCGTCGGCTACACAGTGAGTTCAAGTCCAGCCTGAACTGCGTACTGAGATGAGGTCTCAGACAAAACGAAACGAAACAAAACAAAACAAGGAACATTACGGAAACCCACATGATGCTGAAGGTATGTCATATTTCTGATTTTGAAAGTAGAGCAGGGGCCAGGGATATAGTTCAGTGGCACAGCGCCTGCCTGGCAAGCATGGAGTCCTGAGTTCAACTCCCGGCACCAAAAAAAAAAAAAAAAAAAGCTATACTGTTTAGGCCCGGCATGGTGGCTCATGCCTGTAATCTTGCACTTGGGAGGCTGAGGCAGGAGGATCATGCGAGTTTGAGACCAGCCTGGACTATCAAGTGAGCTCAAGGCCAGCCTGAACTGCATTGCAAGGTCCTACCTCAAAAACACAAAAAAAGAAAGTAGAACAGTTATCTGGAGTTATTTTTTATTTTTATTTTTTTGGTACCGGAAATCGAACTCAGGACCTTGCACTTGCCAGGCAGGTGTTTATGCCACTGAGCTATATCCCCAGCCCTGTTATCTGGAGTTGTAGGCCAAGGACTTTACTTCAGGTATCTGTGGTGTGAAGGGACAGATGGCTGGGCCTCACTGCTTTCCTGCTGGGCTTTTCCTGTGCTGTCTGAAAGGGGACAGGGACAGTACCCTCGGACAGAACACGGGGGCGGGAGCACGGAAGCTCAGCTCTGTGTTATTGAATTCATTCTTGAAAATGAAATGGCCCCAAGTTAAACCTGAGACGTGTTGCCCAAGTTACAGGTACTACTCAGGAAATACATGAACAGAATTATATTACCTTTCTACTTACTTGTTGTTTCTATGGCCATTTTTCCGAAAACAACGGTAATAGTTTTAGGCACTTCTTTTGGGTACTGGGATTGAACCCCCGGGTCTTTGCACTGAGCTACATCCTCAGACCTTTATATTTTTTTTGAGACAGGCTCTTGTTAAATTGCCCAGGCTGGGCTCTGACTTGCAATACTCCCACTGTAGCCTCCCAAATGCGGGATTGCAGGTATACACCACCACGCACAGCTAAGGGTGTGCTTTTTAAAACTTGGAATTTTTACCACTGATTAAACTAGGTTGACTAGAAACTCAACCTAATTTTTTAAAGACTGAAATTTCAGTAGGGCTGGGCGCGGTGGCACACACCTGTAATTCCAGCACTTGGGAGGCTGAGGCAGGAGGAGTGCAGTGAGTTTGAGGTCAGACTGAACTAAATAGACAGATTCTGTCACCAAACAAACAAACAAACAAACAACTGGAATACCTAAAAATTTTAAAAAGATCTCAATGGAAAGTATGCTTCAGAGCAATGAGAAAAACTACCATTTATTTCATACAAGTGTTGGCGTCCTATCAATCTATCTAGCTAAGCACAGATTTTTGAAGGACTGGCTCCCTTTATTAGGAGGAAGAGGAGGGGCTGCCAAGGTCTCGAGTGGCCTAAAAAGTAAAATCACACTTGTTGATGCTGTTTCCTGAGTAAGGAGGGGAGGAGGACCTGATTGCCCTGGGATTGGGAGTGTGATTCAATAACGTCCCGGAATTCAAATGTGCAAAGATAAAAGGATCGAAAAGGTATTCATCAGCTGTTCCTGTCTTAATTAAGACTTCGAAGAATACACTAAGTCCCTGACTTATGAAGGAGTTCCGTTCTGGGAGAACTGTTCCTAAGTCAGATTTGCCTGTAAGCCGACAAGGTGAGCGTTCCACAGTGCACCCGTGAAAGTCTGCACTGGAATGCTCTGCAATCGGGGTTTAGCGTACTCTCAAAGTCAGTCCAGCGACCCGAGCTTATATAAAATGAAGGACGTAAACAGCGCCCGAGGGAGCGGTGCACAGTTTTGTTTTCTGAGACAGGGTCTTACAATGTTGTGCAGGCTGGCCTTGAACTCACGGTGATTCTCCTGCCTCAGCCTTTTGAGTGCTGGGGTAACAGCGTGGCCACCTGCACGCACTTGGACCCTCAGCCTCTTCTCGCTCTGAGTGCCCGTGCATCTTGGCCAGTGCCTGCAGATCTGGTCAGTCCCTGGGCCTCGGGCTGGCCCCCTGTGTGCCCGGCAGTGCCGGCTCAGGATGGTGCCAATACATGCTGCTTTTTGATGAAGCGAGAAGAACGTGGGTCTCGGAGGTACCACTCGGAGTGGGGTCAGGCCTCACGGCTTCCCACTCCCACATCTGCAGCAGATGTTATCTTTGTAAGCCTTGGCATTCACCTAACGCAGGCGAGCTAGGTAGTAATACCTCCCACGCTGGGCTAGCCTGAGGACAGGTAAAACAGCGCAGGCCTGGCCCTGCTGGCATCCAAGGGTGGGCTTGGGTCCAATCCCTGCGTTCATAATCCAGAACCAGGCAGGAGGGACTAACTATAACTGGCTGGGATGGGAAGTCATCTGCTTTAAAAAACAAATGTGCATGCCAGGCATGGTGGTGCATGTACTCGGGAGGCTGAGGCAGGAGGATCACTGAGAGCTCAAGGCCAGCCTGGACTACATAGTGAGTTCAAGGCCAGTCTGAACTGTGTAGTAAAACAGTGTCTCAAAAAGACAAAAAAGAAAGAAAGAAAGAAAAAGAAACACGTGCTGAATATCTCCATTGATTTGTAAAGAAACAAGAAGGAACACTCTTATATTTTAAGAACGGTGGAGAAATTGTGACACAGAGCAACTGTCAAGGTCTGTTCTGCCCTTCTCCAGGCCCGTCGAGGACTATTTTAAGACCCAAATGACACTTTTGTACACTATCCGCCACCAAACGTGCCTGATGGAATTGACTGCAGAGGGGTGAGGACACACGCAGACACAGTACAGTGTAACGGGACTGCCCTCAGCGTCCACAACTGCACCCAAGCTGTCCAGCAGGCTGTTTCCGGGATGGACGACCGAGGGCCCAGTTTGCGTCACGTAACACTGCCCACGTGCAGTAAAGGCCTAAGCTGGAAACGAGGCCCAGAACCTCCTACTTCCTGGCTGAGGACGGCCTGCATCAGCTGGGAACTGCAGCGGAAGGGAAGCGAGTAGACCGGCGGCCTCCGAATTCCTGGCACCATATTGAGCCCCTGTGCACTTCTGAACTAGTGATGGGACTTGGTGACTGAGCAGCCAGCTAGAGTTTATTTCTATCCAAACTAACCTGTTCTAGCACTGTTTACGCAGAAATAAAACTTGACTTTTTTCCCTACACACTCAATAAAATATACTTGTAAGTGCGCTGCGATCTCCCCACATTTGGTCTGGGTGTTTTACTGAAGAAGCAGTCTCTTTTACTACTTCCGTTCTGCTGGACCTTTTATTATTTGTGTTTGGTTTCGTTTCCAGGCAATATATTCCTCTTCTATTGCTGCTTCTGTTTCCTGCCTCCATTTTTCTGAAAAATAAAAAATGGATTTTGCTTTGTTCGGGGGGCGTCTATGGTTTGGACTCTCTCTTCTTTTTAAATTTTAACCCTTAAAATTAAATATTTTTAAAAGTATTTCAGCAAGTGAAATACTGACTTTGCCCTGAGTTCCTACTGATATTGGTTTTATTTTTTTATTTTTTATTTTTTGGTTTTTCCCTGGTACCAGGAACCGAACTCATGACCTTGCGCTTGCCAGGCAGGCGCTTTGCCGCTGAGCTAAATCCCCAGCCCCTGATATTGGTTTTAAAAGCCTCTATTTGAGTGAGACAGGGTCTTGCCATGGAGTTTAGGCTGGCCTTGAACTATGCACCCCAGGTGGGCCTTGAACTTGTGGTAATCCTCTTGCCTCAGCCTCCCAAGTGCTGGGACTAGAGGCGTGCACCACTACGTCCCACCAGAGCAAATTCTGAATGAATAAGCACATACTTTCCGCTAGCTGTGTTTGAACATACCAAACATAGTTTATAGAAAGTTATATCCACAATTCATTCCTACATTTTTGGGGAAAAATAGGCAGCATATCGATAGTATATCCCAAGCCTGGTATCATTAAATATGGGTGTGATAGGCCGAGTGTGGTGGCACATGCCTATAATCCCAGCACTCTGGAGGCTGAGGCAGGAGGATCGCTGCGAGTTCAAGACCAGCCTGGGCTACAAAGTGATCTCAAGGTCAGCCTGAACTGCCTAGTGAGACCCTGTCTCAAAAAGACCAAAAAAAAAAAAAAAAAAAATAGACAATGGCAGAGATTTAATCTCACTGTTGTCCTTACAAGCACCACCTTGGGGGTGATTTAGTTAGAGAAGGCCCTAGGGTGGAACCACAGGAGTGAATCACGCTGGCTTTCTAAGAAGGCAGCGGAGCACACACGCACGCACACACACAGGAGCACGTTCACCCCCATGCAAGCACGCACACGGAGACACGCCCTGTTTCAGCAAGGCCATTACCAGATGCAATCAATCCTTCCACCTTGGACCAGAATCATGAATCCAAACAAACCTCTTCGGTTAAAATTCACCCGCTCTGTGGGTCTGTGTTTATAGCAACGGAAAGTGGACTGACAGGGTGCAGATGCGCAAGCTGGTGTCCAGAGATCTCCGGACCAACCTTTAGTTGCTAGATGAGACATCATAAAGCGAGAGACCAGATTTGAGGCCAGCGACAAAGACAGCTAGGAGCAGGAAACCGCTTTTCCTGCTCTGCCTGCTTCTCAAAACTGGCGGCTGAGCCCTGGGCCCGCGACAGCTGCAGCACCATCCTGGCCTCCCGGGTCCCAAGGGTCAGAAACTCAGTTCCTTAAGAGTAGGCACTTGTGTGGAACTATTGGAAATGCACTAATTTTTATTCAAATACCAATATGGTCTCTAGGCGATGGCTTTTGGTATGTTATAAAAGTTCTCCAAGCTATTCAGAACATTCCTTGTGTAGCGTATGGGACCTAGTAATTGGCTTAATCATTTCAGTGGTATAAAGTATCAGTCAATACTGAGTGTTTACTAAATCTTGTGAAAATGAGGCTTTTAACAAAAACATTCTTCCAACAACCATCTAAATTGAAGACAGGTGCCTAATTAAAATATTAAGTAAAAAGGTAAGCTGCAGAACAGTCTCCAAGGGAGGCTGAGGCAAGAGGATCTCCGTGAGTTTGAGGCCAGCCTGGGCTACATAGTGAGTTCAGTGCTAGCCTGAACTACATAGGCAGACCCTGTCTCAAAATACCAGGGGTGGGGGTGGGGCAAGAACCGGGCAGAGGCATCACAGTGTACCCACTGCCTAGAAAGGCTGGCACTGCATGGGGTTTTAATTTTCTTCTTTATGGTTTTTAAAAAATAGTCAGAGAAACACTGCAATTTTTAAAAATTGTGGTAGAATACATGTAGCATAAAATGTACTGTCTTAGATATTTTTAAGCATACAGTTGGACAGTCACACCTCCGGGCAATTGACCTCCAAGGCTTTTTCATCTTAGGCGGATGTCACTGTCAGGAGAGCAAACCCAAATCCTTGTCCAGAAGTTTCTAATTTTAAAAACGAAATGCAAAGAAAGGAAGTGGAGTGGCTTAATCCGACCCCACCACGATAATGGAATAGCCTTACCAACCTGTGACAGAACTAAGAAAAGCGGTGGGCTTTTAATGTGCTTTCGAGGCACTGAGTGAAGAGAAAACGGTTGGTAGGGACGGAGAAATCGTGGTAGGCCCTCCTCTGCGTGGTTCTTCACAGAGCGTTTTATGGAATTACCAGCTTCCACTTTTGTTCTTTGGCTAACATCAACCTCTCCTGTAAGCACACCCAAGAGGGGCAGCTGCCATTGTGACCCAGGACTCAAGGGGCCAGGGAGGTAGGGTCCTCCGCTACACCTCCAAAGGGGTGGAAAAACTGTGTGCCCACACCAGCCTCCCAGAGCAGCTGCGAAGGGCGCTGGTGGTCACTCATTAACAGGGTCTGCGCTGGCGTCCCAGGGAGGCGGCGGAGGGGGCTTGCTCCGGCTCTGCCGCCACCCCGGCAGCTAATTTCTATGGCGTTGTTAAGGGAGCAGCGCTAATGCTGGTTACGGTCAGTGTCCCAGCTGTACCAGTGACTCCTCCCCAGCCAAAGTTAATGCTTTTCTAAGTGCTGGGAGGTAGGGGCCGATCCTGCTTCGGAGCTGAAGGAATTCTCATCTAAATGCAAATCAAGGCGAGCCGTCTAGGACGCATGAGTAGGTACAGCAATTTTTCCACCATTTAATGTTCAGCCCCCCGAAAGCGTTTGCACACGTGGTATTGCTGAAGAAACAGACCTTACTGGAATTTAACTGCATTTTTCGTCCCCACAGTTACACAGGTAGGCGGTGCCCTGAGCCTTCCTTTCTTTGACTTAATGCATGGTGAGTAAAACTGACGGAGAGAATTCTTTCCCTAACTTCCGCTTCTCCTCTCCCGACTTTGATGTCCAAAAGGCATCTTTTTAAACAAAGTCCCCCGGGCTGGGGAGATAGCTCAGCGGCATAAGTGCCTGCCTGGCAAGCGCAAGGTCCTGAGTTC